GCACAAGATGAGCTAAACACCAGCTATTCAAAACATGCCTTTTGGCTATACTTAGATCTACTGTCATGAGCAAACAAATCTCAAAAGAAACTGGCTGGTTGGATATTAACCATTCCTATTTTAGGCACCTGGAAGAAAAAAGGCTTGTTCAGGGAATCCCTTAAGGATGAAGAAAGATAAGCTAAGGCCAAAGATTTTTGTCTCCTCTCATCTTCTATTAGCCCCAAGTAAAGAGTTGTATACTCTGCCCATTACCAAGGTGCAGCAATAAAGTTGCCTGTCAATGAATGTCAACAAACAAGAACTAAGATGACTTTTACCTTCCCATACTGCTTGTGAACCTCCATTCATCTGGAACTAATGTGTGAAAACATGACTAACTTTGCCTTTAAGTCACTGTACTTTATTTCTTCCTGTTTGATGGAAAAATAGTGGTGGACAGCATTAGGAAGGACCAACAAATAGCTTTCAGAAAACTGATCGCCAGACTATTTCAGTGTTCTTCGTTATATACTCTGAGATTTCTCCTCCCAGTTTTATACCACGCTACTTAGACTCATTGGTATGCATTGTAACTTCTGTAAAAATAGGAATATGTGTGTACTTATTCTTGTATCAGTGCTGAAAATCAATGTATTTAAAGTTAGTGGCAGTGCTGGCTGCAATATTGATTGTGAGATTTTTTTGACACCAAAAAATACAAGGTGAGGGAAGCTAGTCTCCTTATCTTGATAAAGGCTACTAGGTATGAGATCGTGTACCTTGAGAGCTGCTTCTGAAGTAGTCCTAAACCAGGATCTAATGTTCTTCCTGTGGTAGTCTTTGTTATTAAAGATGCTGAATGATTATTCATTTATCACCATTCTGTGTGGAAGGTGACTTTGTAAAGCTGCTGAGGCCGAGGTCTTAATCAACATCCCCTCCACTGTCACTTGCATACTTGCATCAGTCTATAGTTACCACCTCTTGCTCTGCAAATCCAAACTTTGTGACTGAATTAAGTTTCAGTTAGACTCTTTTTTGCTACTGTGTACAGCAGGAGAAAAAGTTTAACCTGCTGAACGGAAAAGAAACAAGTTCTCCTTCCTTTTGCTTGTGTGGAGCTAAGAGTGCTAAAAGCAGGGGAGAGAAGGGCAGGAAGAATGTCTTTACCGATTAACAGCTACTGTAGTTTTCAGAGAGCTGCACTTAATGTTGTTCAGTGTTAGACAGCCTTGCTCATTATGGAATTGAACAATTCTGCATAAAGATAATGCTGTACTTACTGTGTCATTATTTTTCCGTGCCAGTATTGGATTTTCTTCCTTTTACGAGAACACCGGACTGTTGATACTCGTCTGTACAAAACTGAACTTGATGGGTTTTGCTGCTTGAAAGTGGGATTTTTCTGCTAGCAGGTGTAGTTCAGATTGGCTTTTAGTTATAGAGATTCCTGTTTGTATTAAAATACTGTGTAAACTGACATTTTGTAGATATTTTGGAAGCTTCACTTTTTCCTGAAGTTAATAGCCTATGCACGGCTTAACATGCTGCATGAAAAAACAAGAGCAAGAGTGTAATGAAAACTATTTATATGTTTTATATTATCAATTATCAATATAATATAAAGTAGTACACATAATTATATATGATATTATGTTATAATTATATTATATTATATATGTTATACTACAACACTCCCCTCAACTACACCACCACTTCCTACACGCCTCCCCCCTCATCTCACCCCTGCTCTGGGTTTAATCCCAGCTTCCTGCCCTAGTGCTGACTGTGACAGCTCTGTGCTTGCTGGGTGGGTTTGGAAAGGTGCTTTTCCCCCCACTTTTTGGGCACACCAGGCTGGGGTGGTGGCAAGTCTGTCCCTGAATATCACCATGGCTGCTAGGGCTCCGTCCTGATAAAGTTGAATTGCTCAAGGCTCAGGACTGCATTGGAGGTCTTGAGAACACTGTAGTCGGTGCTGAGGAGCTCCTCAGGCAGTGACAGCAAGCTGATGTCACCCTGAGAGATGGCTCTGCTGGTGCCACCAGGGTTCCTGGGCACGGGGATGCCGCTGGGATGTCCTGGCTGACTAAGGAGCAATACAGTAGCACCTCCTTGGGCAGTGGAGGGTCACCCGCTGGGTCCCCAACAGCTTGGATGTGGGGGCCAGCACAGTGGCTGGGGATATTGCTGCCTGGGGGGATGTTGCTGTCCAGGGCTGACCCCACTGGAGTAGCCATGTCAGAAAGCCTGAGCTGTGCAGACCACTCCTCCGTGTCCTGGTAGCCAGGGAAGCACAACGGCAGCATCATGGGGCCTAGGGCTGTTCCCTGAAGGTTGAAGGGTGCAGTTGGCCCTAGAGGGTCCCAGAGGCTTCCCAGGCTCGGGGGGTCCCACAGCCCCAGGGTCCCCACCCCAGAACCCGGCAGAGATGCAATGCCATGGCTGATCATGGAGGTGGCCACTGGAGACAAGTCGGTGCTTGTCCACTGCATATAGGAGACCCAGAGGTTGAGGAAACAGCCCCATGGAGCCATCTGCGGACCTACGTGGGTAAGAGGGAGCAGTGCTGGGCCAGGGGACCCTCCAGGGTGGCTCACCGAGCCAGTCCTGATCACCAACGTCTCCTGGCTCTGTGCCAGGCACGTGGATGCTTGTGGCTGGTGCACTCCCCATGGGGTGAGCTGCTGCGCCAGCAGGACAGGGCTGCAGATCAGGGAAGAGACTTGCTTATAGGAGGTGAAACAGGAGACATGGCCCCAGGTATTTGGGAAATTCTCTGTAAGTTGTGTTTACTGTGCATGCATCACCCAGGCAAGGACATGGACGCTCGCACAGGATTGCTGAACTCTTGTGCCAAAAACACCAGGGTCATAGGGGTGCCACCCCTGCCGGGGGCGCCCAGGCTGCAGGGAAGGGCTGCTTCAGCCCAGACAGTCAGCACAGGTTTGCTGAGCCTGAAAAGAGAGACGGGAGCCATTGCTGCTGGTCACTTCCACTCTTGCCCCCAAGAGCATCCCCAGGCTGCAGGAGTCAGGGTTGGTCCCCACCTTGAGGGTAGAAGGTTCTGGGATGGACAAAGGGCTGAAGCAGCCAGGGCATTGGAGTGCAGCGGCTGGGAACTGCACAGTAGGAGCCACAGTCCTGGCAGTGCCACGGTCTGTTATGTCTGTTGGCTGCTAAGGAGTCTCTGGAGTTGCTGGCTCTGGCCTACTGTTTGGGGGTATCTCATGAGGGAATGTGTGTCTCTCCATGTTCCACCCTGCCCCCAGTGCCTCACAGGAAGGGAAAGGGTTAAGGGGGACTACTGGGTGCTGTGGTTGCAAATGCTTTTGGCTGGAAGCCTTAGTCAGTTCCCAGAGCTATGATATCATTGGTGCTAGTGAGACTTGGTGGAATGAGTTGCACTACAGGAAGTCAGGGATGGAGGACAACAGGAGGGACAGACAGGGCAGGCAAGGGAGAGGTTTGATTGCTCAGGCTTGCAGTTAGTGATGATGTGGTTGAGAGCCTCTGCGTGAGGATTAGGGTGATGTTAAACAAAGGAGATGTAGTAGTGGGTGTCTACTACCGATTGCCCAGACAGGATGCTAGCACTGAGGAGTTAATCTTTACGCAGTTATGAGAAACCTCTGGATTAGCAGTCCTTGTCCTTATGGGAGATTTCAACTTCCCAGACATGAACTGGGCATATCATACTGCTGTGACGAGCAGGTTGGGGAAATACTTGAAGTTTATGGAAGATAATTTCTTGTCACAAGCACTCAGAGAGCCAATGAGGAAAGATGCCCTCCTAGACTTGCTGTTTATGAATGGAGAAGGACTCCACGGTCCCTCACAACATCCTTCTCTCTCAATTGGAGAGATAGTAGTGATGGATGCACTATTTAGTGCATAAGAAATTAACATCCAGAGAGTAATGGCAAATAGCTCAATGTCCAGATGGAAATGAGTGATGAGGGGTGTCCCCCAGGTGTCTGTATTGCTACCAGTACTGTATATCTTCAGTGGCAGTGGGATTGACTTCACTCTCAGCAAGTTTGCAGACAACACTGAGCTGAGTGGTGTGGTTGACACACCTGAGGGAAGGGATGCCATCCAGAGGGACCTGGACAAGCTCTAGAAGTGGGCCCGTGTGAACTTCATGAAGTTCAACAAGGCCAAGTGCACCTGCACCTGGGTCAGGGCCATCCCCAGCATCAACACAGGGTGGGGGATGAAGGGATTGAGAGCAGCCCCGCTGAAAAGGGCTGGGGGTGCTGGTGGATGAAAAATTAGACATGAGCTGTTAATGCACACTCACGGCCCAGAAAGGCAATCGCATCCTGGGCTGCATCAAAAGCAGCGTGGCCAGCAGGTCGAGGGAGGTGATTCTGCCCCTCTACTCTGCTCTGGTGAGAACCACCTGCAGTACTGCGTCCAGCTCTGGGGCCACCAGCACAGGAAAGACTTGTTGATGATTTAGAAGAAAAAAAAAACAAACTAAAAAAAGAACAAAGATAATGAAATTAAGTTAAAGTAGCCCAAACTAAATCAATTTTTAAATTCTGAATTTATTTTGACAAATTTGCAATAAGCATTATCAATCATGTGAATAACAATTAAAAATTATAGATATTTTATCAGTTGTGTGTTTTCTTAGTACTTCTATGCCTAAAAAATAGATTTTATTCCTGGTCCCTCACTAGTATGCAAATTTCTACCAGAATCAAGTAATACACATAACAGGACAAAAAAAAAGTAATTCCGAAGCAAGGCAGCATTCTTTTTTTTCTTTTTTTCCTGCAAGTAAAGCCATTCCTCACAATTGCTCAGAAAACAAGAGAAAGTCCATTAGAATCTTCAGACCCTTAAAAAAGACTCCTGGCTAATATTACTGGTCTAAAAAGGAAAGAAGCCATATAATTTTACAGGAAGCAACCCACCGAATCCTTCAGCAAACACAGCTTGGCAATCTATCTTCAATTCAAAATAATGAGGTGGCAGGAGTGTGATGGAGAAATAAGTCTTCAAAAACATCATGTAAGGGAATCCAGCTGTGCTTGTATAGTTTCCAGCTATTTAAAGGAACAAAAAAAGAGAGAAAAATCTCCAGTCATATAAAATGTTGTTTAGAAACATGCAAACAGTAAAAAACCCCCACATTCCAGTATCTTCAGCTATGCATACTAAATCTATTCACATGGCAATAAAAAAATCCTGTACTCATGAATATTTGTTTTTACATGAAGCTATTAGAATTCATTGCTGCAGTTTAAATATTCAAATTTTAAAGAAACAGTTGCCTAAATACTGCTTTTTTTACATGCACAGATGTTTTGCTGCGAATTTCCAATGCATAATAACAAGGAAAAAAAATAATAGAGTTCATTTTGATTGGATTACAAGCCTGGCATTTCAACTGAAGATGTAATGCAAAGATGCTCTTTCCAAAGAGCTCCTCATTATTAATCATCAGCTGCTACTCTCGATCTAACCATCAGGTATGCTTACAATGACCCAAGCCCTGCCTATTCCAAATTTCAACGCACAGATTCTTCCTGCAAATGCTTTATGTGATCAAATAAATCCAACAGCCTTAATAAAAGTTGGATCCATTTTCCTTCCAGTTTCAT